GGAAAACTTTGTCTTTCTGCATTTTCTTTATATTTCTGGAATGTATTGGTGTTATTTGCTGACCATGATACCTTATAAAAGTGTTCTCTTAATAGGTTGGCCAGGTCTTCTAGTGTTGATTGTGTGTCTGGACTTGTAGGCAGTGATATTGTGTAGGAGGAGTACTCTCCCTTGAACACGGTCGAAATTTGGGCTTGTTGGTGCATTGTGACGACAGAAAAAAGCGCAAAGAAACGGGAACACAAGACGAGGACACACGGCACAAGCGCCTGTGCCATGTGTCCTCGTCTTGTGTCCCCGTTTCTTTGCGCTATTTTCTGTCTCCCTTGAACTTCCTCACCTGGTCCCAGATGTGTTTAGATGTGACTGAACTGTTAATTGATGATATGTATTTTTGCCATGAATCCGTTTCTGCCTGTCGTCGAATAAATTGGGCTCTGGCTTTCGCCTGTTTGAAGTTGATGAGGTTGGTGTAGTTGGGGTATCTTCGTAGAATTCCCCAGGCCTTATTTTCTTGTTTTTTGGCATCAGCACACTCGTTTGTCCACCAAGGGTTGAGTTTCTTGCGTGCGATGCCGGATGATTGCGGTATTGCTTTTTCTGCTGCTAAGATTGAAACTTTGAGGAACTCTTCATTTAGTTCCTCAACAGAAAGCTCCGATGAGAAAACTTCATCGAGCTTAGCCTTTTCTGTGAAACTGGCCAGTTCGCGAGCTGTAGTTTCCACCCGCGTAGCCTGCTTGTTAAAGTTGGGTAAGATGGTATGAGTTTTATGATGCCGGGTTGATGATCACTACCATAAGACGTGTTTACAACGTCCCATTTAAAATCGTTAAAAATACACGATGAACACATGGTGAGATCTAAGCAACTAAAAGTGCGCGAGGTTGGTGAAAAGTAGGCAAAAGCCCCGGAATTAAGAAGGCAGCTGTCATTTGATAAAATGAAACCTTCCATGGCTTGCCCTCTTGCGTCAGTTTTGTCGCTACCCCAAAGGGTTGAATGAGCATTGAAATCCCCAACTAAGATAAATGGTTTTGGCAACTGTTCCACTAGATTTTCTAGGTTTTTGGTGGTGAAAAGGGTGTGAGGTGGGACATACAGTGAGCAGGTGGTGATGGTTCTGTATGATAGGCTGGTGACGGCTACGGCCTCGAAAGATGTGTTTATTTGGACATCCCGCGTAGGAGTGCTGCCCTGCACGACTAAGGCTACTCCTCCTGAAAGACGGTTGCAATGTTCGCGGTCCTTTCAAGCAACATTGAAGCCTTTTAGGAAATGGCCGTGTTTTGCACTAAGATTTGTCTCTTGGAGGCAAAAGGCTACTGGTGAGAATTTGTTAATGATGTTCTTTATGTCACCTAAGTTATGAATTAAGTCTCTACAGTTCCAATGTACGATAAAAGTCATGGCGGAATAAAGATAAGTAAATATACTTATGGGGATTGATCGGTATAAAAGATGATAGGTGACAATACTAAGAAATAGAAATAGAGAGAAATACGATAATCATTACGGTTATCGCTTACTTATTGTTGTTACTGGGGCTTTGTCCTTGTCCTGTTTGGTACACTCGAGAGAGCGCTTATCCTTCGGTGTCGATGACACCGAAGTTTTGTGGTCGATCTCCATTGCCTTGTCTGAGGCGCTGGCAGATCGAGAGTGAGGCGCTGAGAAACGGATCTCAGGCCTTGGCACTCTATTGAGTTTAGGGCCCAGGGAGACCGGAGTCTGCGGGCCCTTTGATGTGCATGGAGCAGCTGGCACTGCTTCTTTTACGGGGGCGGTTTGAGTCACCACAGGACCACTGGGTGTGATAGCGGTCGACTCCCGAGGCCTTTGTGACGCTGCCCCCGACTGCGTCACATCGGCGTAACTTCTGTGGAAACATCGGCGTAACTTCTGTGCTTCGCTTAATGATATTTTTTCTTTGACGGTCAGAGCGATCACTTCTTTTTGTTTTTTCCAACATGGGCATGACCGGGAATACGCTGGGTGTTCCCCGTCATAGTTAACACAGTGGGGTGAGAATGAGCAGTTTTCTGGTTTGTGGTCGTTTGCGCTGCATTTTGCGCATGTTTCTTTGCCTCTGCAAGAGTGCGAGGCGTGTCCGAATCTTTGACATTTGAAACAGCGTCTGGGGTTGGGAATGTAGAGTCTAACGTTTATTTTTAAGTACCCAGCCTTAAGAGAGGTGGGCATTTCACGTGTTCCAAAGGTTAGTATCACGTGTTTCGTGGGCACTTCCTGATTATTGCGACGGATTACAATTCTTCGGACTTTTATGACGTTTTGGTCTTGGAAACCTTCGAGGAGCTCATCGTCACCAAGGCCTAAGAAGTCTTCCTCAGAGATTACTCCCCTGCTGGTGTTTAGAGAGCGATGGACCGAAACAGTGACAGCTGTTTCTCCAATGCTGGTTAGTTGGAATAGCTTAGGCACTTGGTCTTTTTCGGTTAGCTCCAAAAGGAGGTCACCGCTTGACATTTAGTATGCTTGGTATGTGGGTCTTATTTTTTCTTTTAGGCACTTCGCCACCAAAAATGAGGATTATTTTCTTAGAGGTGTGCTGTCAGTGTGGATAATGTGGTTCTTCGCGAAAGTAACTTTAGTTTCTGTCGAGACGTGATACCTTGTTTTGGTGCGGCCTCTCTTACAAGACCGATAAAGGTCGGCGGATGCTTGTAAAGCCATACAAGTATGGATGTGTTCGGTAACAGCGGCGACCACCCACCACGGAGCCCAACAAGGGGACGCGGTTGGACTTGTTGAAACAAGCCCTCCCGACGCCAGCCGTACGCTGTCACTACTACCCAATGTACTTATCCAAGGTGGGATACCTACACAAGGTTAACCCTTGCCGCCATGAATATCGGAAGTCGACAGAAGTGAGGAGAAGACAGGAAAGATAAAAGTGTGAGAAAAAGACGAAGATGCGGGAGGAGAGAGACAGGAAAAGGCGACTGCCGATTTCCCCTGGATGGGTCAGCCCAGGGGTGCCGTCCACGTAAAGCTGGGGCCAAAGGGGTGTGTTGCCTCTGCCGGGGGGCCTTTAAGGTCCAATCACCCGGCGTCGGCTCAACCCCCAGGATCCCCTTTTCCTCGGACACGGCAAAGCCACGCACGGCTAGCCGTGGGAGGGAGTCGAAACCCCCCCGTTAGCTCGGGTCCATAGTGTCGCTACACACCAAACGCCTACTTGCGCAGGTGCCCCTGCGGGGGCAGCACATATATAGTTGATTGGTTGCAGCATGATAGGTTGACTCGGAGTGTCGATGTCGTTCCCCCGAGGCAACTCTTATGAATGATTTCAAGAGTAATGCTGAAAGACAACATCTTGACGGCAAACGTTTTTGCTGAATGTATGAGGCTGTGACCAGACCACGAGTGATAGTGACGTTGAAAGATCAGGTGTTAAATTAACTGACCCGGATAAAGTCGCATTTCACGTCTTTTTATGCGCTATTATTTGTTCTCACGTGTAAATGGCTTTAATTGTATTTAGTTTATGATTCACTTCAGCGAGATTGAAAACAAAATGCGTAGTTTTTCTTCTGCATAAATTGCAACAGAAATATTGTCGACAATATTAACCAAGGCTTGCGGCGAGGAGGCTCGAGTTTGAGCAGCGATGTGAAATGGTTAGAGTGATGAAACGTGAAGTGACTCCCACAGTCGATGTTCCTCGGCTAACTTCTAACGTCTTCACTAGTACCTTCCGAACAGCGTTGTTATCAACGCATCTTCTTAACGTCGAAAAATTTGAAAATGTGAAAAGCGTACATGTTCATTCTTTTTGATTTCTATGTTTCTATCACGCTGATCGAACCTGCAACATTCGTTTGCAGGTGGAACCCAAACGCTGCTGCTTAATCAGGTAAATACTTCAGTTCCTTTGAATAATGAACTCTCTAATCGTGAGTGCGCAGCTAATGACGACGTTGTCACATATTTGCGAACGTATCACCATGTTAAACATTCAGCTCCATGCAGCAGCAATGGCGTTTCTCACTAGCGGTCTACTGTGGCGGCAGGCCCGTCAGGGAGGCTTGCTACATAATACCTCGGGTTTCATCCACTTTACACGTCAATTTTAGTTCGGGCAGGTTTCTGTAGCGCACACAAAATTTCGCAAAGCGTCGTTCATTCGTGGTGGCGGAGGGGAAGTATAGCCTTTCACACAAGCGTATATGCTTAGGTGGCAACCTTTCATATTTTCAGAATGTATTTTGGTCTCATTTATTTCAGTGCAGCTCATGACTTCATCCGGTGAAAGTGGAACGGGCCGTACGTTCTTTTCTCATGCTAACAAGAGGGACGACGATGCTCCGGGTGCCATATTGAATCGTCCACCCCGTCACCTATATTTCGTTGGCATTATGAATTGACAGGCGCACTTGTGGTGTTCAATTTCAAGACGACCGCGTTTCCTCCTTTCTTGAGACGTGTTCGTCGAGTGCCGTACGCGAAGCTTTAACTTGCGTGTCTTTTTGCGAGTGGCGCCGACTGTGCTGCAAACACTGCATGCTAGACTCATATGTACAATTTTCTTCCAAGTATGTGTCTTGCAAAGCTACCTCTAAATATACAAACATTTATTACTAGCCAAGGCTTCAAAATTAAATATTATATGTCTTGGTCGGTGATCGGAAGCCTGAAGCAGTGCATTCATGCGCGATCGCTCTACCTCTCTTTCCCATTGTTAAGACAGTTCTCTAAATTTCTTGCTGTCATTATATTGGAGATTGATATTTGTCCATTGTCTATTTCCCAAGGTTAGAATGAAAACTCTATACAAACCTTTGTTGCAGATAAGCCGGTGTACTGAGAGCGTTCTGTTTTAGGCAAACCAAACGTATACAATATGACACTGAAGATGCGCTATTCCTCCCCGTTCCTCGCAAAAATAAAAGACCCAACTATTCTATACGGCAATGTTCTATTGTTTCGTAATAGAGAAACAAGTAGCGGGGAAGCATTTTCTACTGAACGCACTACAATGAGCTTCGTATTCATAGAGTGGCAATAGAGTGAATTAGCATGAAAAGAGAAATTGTCGTAATCATTTTCACCATTTTTTCTACTAATGTTCCAATTGCAACACCTAATAGAACGAGGCCTTCTATGTCTCTGGATATCAAGCAGGTCAGTTACTGTTATCCTGTACTTGAAGTAACATAAAATGCATTCAAGGACAGGGCGGCATTTTCGAGGAGGCGGACACGGTCTGCCCTATAAATGTTTGTTTTTGTTTGACGAGTCATAGTTGCCTTTGATTGGCTGACTTCATGCTTCAGTCTGTACAGAACGTATTTTTAGCTACGCATACCATTAGTGAACACTTCATTACACATTTGAACAAAAAACCTACGTTTATAACCTTTAGTGATTGCTGGAACTGGGCAGTGCCGCGTGAATTTTATGGAAAGAATGCTAAAACTTGTCGATCCTTCCACTCCACGTTGGTGCGAGCTTCTTATTTGTTCGTACATCCATAAATTGATGAACTGGTATATCTATATCACCTTCTCTACTTTGTGAAAGCCTTTTAAATGTAAAGCATTTCTTTGTGAATTTAGGATATTTTCTTCGTTTATGTCTGTTTGTCTGTCTGCTTATCTATCTATCTATCTATCTATCTATCTATCTATCTATCTATCTATCTATCTATCTGTCTATCTATCTGTCTATCTGTCTGTCTGTCTGTCTGTCTGTCTGTGTGTCTGTCTATCTATCTATCTATCTATCTATCTATCTATCTATCTATCTATCTATCTATCTATCTATCTATCTATCTATCTATCTATCTATCTGTCTGTCTGTCTGTCTGTCTGTCTGTCTGTCTGTCTGTCTATCTATCTATCTATCTATCTATCTATCTATCTATCTATCTATCTATCTATCTATCTATCTATCTATCTATCTATCTATCTATCTATCTGTCTGTCTGTCTGTCTGTCTGTCTGTCTGTCTGTCTGTCTGTCTATCTATCTATCTATCTATCTATCTATCTATCTATCTATCTATCTATCTATCTATCTATCTGTATGGCTGTCTGCTTTCTTGAACGTTTTTCTTTTCTTTCACTTTCTCCTCCTTTGAAGTTATTACATCGCTCTTTTCTACCACGAGACAAAATTGAATTCAGGCAGTCTGTATGTCAGCCATACATTCTATCTCAAAGCGTCGAAAGTGCCTCAGCCTGTCTAAGGTGGTAGGCCACTCAAAAACAAAAATTTTATTAAGGGCCGGCAGCGTTGGAATAACTTTTTCATCAAAACCAGCATGTCTTATTTAATTTACCCAGTCATTGAGAGGGCAAAATATTGAATATTTATTTATTGGGAGGTAATCTTCGTCAAATTCGCATTAAATGTGCTAGCCACGCCAGCTTTGATAAGTGACTATTAGGTCGCTTTATTCAGCAAAGCTTTGACATTTGTTTAACTAATGGCCGGAGCTATGCAGTGAAATAGAATAAATATTGTGCAGTGAATATCAAGAAAGTAATGCTAAAAAACCCAAAAAACGGGTGGAAAAGCCAATTTAGAGCCAACCTGTTGAAGAATTCAGCTGTAAACTGAAAAATAATCAATGGATTTCTTTTATTCTAGTTTGTTGCACATATATATATGTTTTAAATCATTGTGCAAAATTTCACTTCAAAGTATACGCTGAAAAATACGTTATAAAAGGTTGCGTCGCAATATTTGGAGCAAATTGTTATTTTCAGAAAAACGTAATCAAAGATTTCGAGCTAGTAAAAAGGGTCACAATCTTCGCATGAAGGCCTAAAATGCACCAGATTTATTGCTGGGCCCTTCTGCGGAAGCATAATTGCCTCCTTTTGTTCTTCATAGGATCATTTCTATAGTGCGATCGCGGAGACGCATCCGCGATCTCGGAACATACCCGGGTGGCTGCTCGTCTTTTCTTTCTGGACTGTTTTGTTCCATCCGCTGACTTGCGTTTAGCATTCTGCATGCTCAGGTGATCCCTGGCAATGCAAGCTTTCGTCGTGTTGTACCCTGGTTCTATGCCAGCTTGCCTCAGGATATCTAGGGTGCTTACAGTGCCATTATTAAAGTGTGCCACAGCATCATGCAAGGCAAACATTACTGTAGGCAAGCTTACGTAGACCTCTTTGGGGGCCCGCTGCCATATTAGACCATTGAAACACTCATTAGTATTTTGAGTTTTTCCATGAAGGCACTTCATTAGAAGTTCATCAAAGCACAAATCACTGTAGACAGTTTTAACTTTGTTGAGAATATCATTTGGAATTCCTCCTTTGTGTGCATATTTCCCTTGGCCGAGTGCTTTGACCTTTTGGTATCCGCACCAGCTTTTCGGGCCAAGTGGATACAGACCATTTATAGGCTGCTTTTCAGTAGAGCTGCAATGAAAAATCTGGCAAGGGTAGCCTTTTTCATTGCTGAAAGGTTGCCCAAATCAGCCCTTACGGCGATGCCATAGTAGTTTTGCAGGCGGTCAAAGAGGGCACCTCGGAGCTTTCCCTTACCACCGAGTCCACACACTGTCTTCTTCAGTTTTCTGAGGCGGCAGCCAACACGCTTCTGGATATGCCCAATACATTCCAGTTTCTGCGCACTGTCCTTTCTATACATGTCTTTGACAGCGGCATAGCTCTTGGAATTACCATCGCCGTAGTAGTGCAGGTGCTTCAAATCTCTTTTGCCTTTCGACCTTTCAAATATTCGGTATAGACCAACCGTCTCCATACTATCAGCACTTGCTTCATGGTTGCCTAAGGATACAGCCTTAGTAGCGTTGACACGTGGAACAAATGCAGAACGAAGTCTTACGTAGCCTGACCAAGGCAAACAACCAAAATTCCGACGAGCATTGTGCGTCCCCCTTGTGGCTGTTGTTAGAGATTAAGGAAGACTTTTAAACACAAAGTTGTATTTAGTGACATCATCTTATATAACAGTCCCAATAAAATGCATAAAGTATCTTGGATAGCAATAATATAAACGAAACAACACTTGCTTTTGAAAGCGATTTTTCGAAACCGAAACCACAGTTGGAAACGTGGTTCCGCTTTTGCTATAGGAGCATAGGGTATAGAAAACTTGCTGTAACTCGCAAACTAATGACGCTAAAAGGATAATTTTTGTTGCAAAATATATGTGAATGTTTGGGCGTGCAAGAAAACAAAACTCTAGAAATTTACTTTGCAAAAAATGACTTTGAAGGTGGCCTACTACCTTAAAAAAGAACGCATGCAACAATCGTATAACCGATATGTCAATTAGTGTGGAAGTGTCGTTATTCACTTCCATAATGTGGCGAACTTTACATGTGCATGACTCCTCATGGTAATGTTAAGCGTAGAGTTAGTGCTGCTAATAACGACTTCTATGACCAATGTGTCTGATGCGCAAATGACCGCCACGTAGTGTGCGCTGCGGGGCGATATAACTGGCGCCACTGTTATAGCATGAGTGGTTGCTTTAAGTTGGATCATGAACTAGTATGTACAGTCGTCAGCAAGCTTTACGCGGGCGCTCCGACGCGCTACCTCAACTACACGTATGTCATCCTCGGCTGAGGTGCACTGGCACCGTCATGGTGGAAGAGAAGTTATGTCAAACACTACTCGAGTTTCACGCCCTGCTACAGGCTAGACGTACATGTCAACCCCAAGACTTCAATCGCAAAAAACAAAAAACAAAAAATAAGAGATACTTGCGAGACTCTACGTGTCCAGTGGGTGCGTGTCTGTATTTCCGGTGGTAGAGCTGCTTCAGTTCTGTACCAATCCTACGAGGGTTAAAAAAGTTTTACCACTGCCTAAGGTGTCCAGTAAAACCCCTGCAGCAAAAATATACTGGTGCAAGTACGGTCGGACGATGTGAACTTACGCACATGTTCTTTCCCGTGCTTCTGTTTTCCGCAGCAGCACCAGCTCTAAAGTTGTTGTTGTTGTAGCTATAAAGTACGCCTGCAATGGTGGAACGTCATCGCGTCGTCTTCCATCGTGCGCGGGCTGATGGGAATGTCCCAATCTCATTCTCGACCTCCACGGCGTGCACTCGTGTCGCGACCGGCCCAGCCGACCGTGCGGCACCACACGCGTGGTGCACAGACAAACGTATGGCACCACATGAGTGCACAGAAAACGCCACTTGTGCCGCCAGCTGAAGATGCTGTTACTGATGTCAGCCACCAATCACTGAGCAATGTTGGCAATGCAACAGCTCAGTATGCTGGGATAGTATGTCCGTATGCAAGGAAAACATCTTGGCTGCAGGGTCCAAACCCACGGGGAACTACCTTAAAAAAACGCCTGGCCTGCGCGTAAGGCACAGCACAGTCCCAGTGAAAGCTAGAAGAGCGGCCTCTCAAAGCATTTTCTATGCACTCATTGGGTAACTACGGCAAGCACGCTTGCTTGATACCCACTGCGGCATTATTAATAATTGTTTTGGTAGTAGGCCAGCAATCACTATGCTATTTTTCGTCAATTTTCTGAGAAGTGTAATATCCGCTAAACATTGGCAAGGAATTTTGGGCCAATTGTTCATGCAGTGGCCGACGACGATGAGGAACTTTGCCCGAAGTGGGTATGCGCCAGAGTTATTAGGTGAAGGAGGAGAAGAAACAAAGTTTATTATAAAAGACGAGCAGGTTTAGGTGTCCGGGCCTCAGAGAACAAATTTTTGTAATGAATTGGAACATTCGATGACCCACTCGTTGTAATATTCTCAGTGTGCGGCGACTGGTTGTTCTGTCACTATTTTGAAACGCTTTGAAAGTTGTTTTGAAGCGATTGCTTTCCCAACACCAAGCTCGCTTAAGGCAACTTTACCACCAAGTCTCAAACACCAGTGTCGCTCAGAGGTAGAATACTGGCCTGGCACCCAGTGGACCCAGGCTCAAGCCCCACTGGGTCATTGGCGCTAGGCTTTTTATGGGCATAGCTCCTTATGGCGTGGGTGTGTACACCCTTTGAGGTAGGTAGTTGTAGTAGGTAGTCATCCGCATACCAGTTGCACATAGCCGCGTTCGGGCACATATCCGTATGTTCACATTTTACGAAAAAAAGTAGCACACCGTCATTACCACGCTCTTGGTGTTCGCAAAGCGCGGACAGCAGAAATGCAGTACATACTCTCGTA